TCTGAATCTTTTTTTCCTCCAACCTGGTGCCCTATTGTGGGGGTGTAGAGAAAGCATCTTCCAATGGCCGGTGCCAACCCATCCGGAGGTCACTGTGTTGGAGAATGCCCGGCTCAGATGCTCAGAGGATTGTTTTGCTACAGGCCTTCCCGCCGCACGCTTCAAAACACTGCTTTTTCTTCTTCCCTTGCACAACCCCTCTCCATGGCCGTAAATAACTTCATTGCACAACCTACAACTTCTGCAGCAGAGTCATAACAGAGACTCGTGCAAATAAACATGGAAATTTCCCCTGGGTGTTGAAACCTTCCTGTGTGTTTGTTTTGCGGGGATCGCTTCGTCCCATCCAAGAGAAAACAAAAATAAAACAAAATAATAGTTTAAAGACCTGCACGGATCCTGGTCATTTAGTTTTTCCTTCGGGACATTTAAACCCATTAAGCGATTTGCTTGATGGGAAATGACCGAGCACCGACGAATTTGTTGGAGTTTTTTTAAGAGAAGAGAAATGGATAGTATAGAATACAGAATAACAGAGTTGGAAGGGACCTTGGAGGTCTTCTAGTCCAACCCCCTGCTTAGGCAGGAAACCCTACACCACTTCAGGCAAATGGTTATCCAACATCTTCTTAAAAACTTCCAGTGTTGGAGCAGCCACAACTTCTGGTGGCAAGTTGTTCCATTGGTTAATTGTTCTCACTGCCAGGAAATTTCTCCTTACTTCTAGGTTGCTTCTCTCCTTGATTAGTTTCCATCCGTTGCTGCTTGTCCTGTCTTAAGGTACTATGGAGAATAGTTTGACTCCTTCTTATTTGGGGCAGCCCCTCAAATATTAGAAGACTGCTATCGTGTCACCCCAGTCCTTCGTTTCATTAGAAAAATAGATAGAGGGATGGATGGATGGATAGGTAGGTAGGTAGGTAGATAGATATGAGAGATGATAGATAGATAGATAGGTAGATAGATAGATAGGTAGATAGGTAGATAGGTAGATAGATGGTAGATAGATGGTAGATAGATAGATAGATAGATAGATAGATCAGAGAGATGAGTGACAGATTAGACAATTAGAGATAGATGATAGATAGATATGAGAGATGATAGATAGATAGATAGATAGATAGATCAGAGCGATAGATGAGTGACAGATTAGAGCAATTAGAGATAGATGATAGATAGATATGAGAGAAGATAGATAGATAGATAGATAGATAGATCAGAGCGATAGATGAGTGACAGATTAGAGCAATTAGAGATAGAGAGATGATAGATATGAGAGATGATAGATAGATAGATAGATAGATCAGAGAGATGAGTGACAGATTAGAGCAATTAGAGATAGATGATAGATAGATATGAGAGATGATAGATAGATATGAGAGAAGATAGATAGATAGATATAGATAGATAGATAGATAGATAGATAGATCAGAGCGATAGATGAGTGACAGATTAGAGCAATTAGAGATAGAGAGATGATAGATATGAGAGATGATAGATAGATAGATAGATAGATAGATAGATAGATCAGAGCGATAGATGAGTGACAGATTAGAGCAATTAGAGAGATGACAGATAGATATGAGAGATGATAGATAGATATGAGATGATAGATAGATATGAGAGATGATAGATAGATATGAGAGAAGATAGATAGATAGATATAGATAGATAGATAGATAGATAGATAGATCAGAGCGATAGATGAGTGACAGATTAGAGCAATTAGAGATAGAGAGATGATAGATATGAGAGATGATAGATAGATAGATAGATAGATAGATAGATAGATCAGAGCGATAGATGAGGGACAGATTAGAGCAATTAGAGAGATGACAGATAGATATGAGAGATGATAGATAGATATGAGATGATAGATAGATAGATAGATAGATAGATAGATAGATAGATAGATAGATCAGAGTGATAGATGAGGGACAGATTAGAGCAATTAGAGAGATGATAGATATGAGAGATGAGAGATAGATAGATAGATCAGAGAGATAGATATGAGAGATGATAGATAGATAGATAGATAGGATAGATAGATAGATAGATAGATAGATAGATCAGAGCGATAGATGAGTACAGATTAGAGCAATTAGAGAAATGATAGATAGACAGACAGGCAGGCAGGCAGACAGATGATTAATATATTCAGAGAGATGACAGATAGACAGACAGAGGCTTCGGGCTCAGTGCCCACCCTCCGCTCTCTCCATTGCGCAGAGCTTCATAGTTTTTTGACTCAAATACCTTGGATGCTTTGCAAGGAGCAGTGTAGCTAATCCTTCTGGATCGCTTGCTGATGGAAACCATCCAGCCTCCACAGCTTCGTGACTCATGTCAACATTTACATTTTCCCAGAGCAGTTAAAAGTTGGCTTGGCAATCTTCTTCCTCCACTCTGCAGCTGTTGACAACCTGTTTCATCCTTTGTATCACCCTACATGCCGGCTTAGCCTGGTTCTTGGGCGGGATGGAGTCCAGCATCCTGCCTGAGGTTTCCTCTGAGCCACAAGATGGCAATATTAGCTGCTGAATGAGTTCATCCTTTGGAGGGCCCTTTTCCTAAGAGTAAGGAAGAGAGCTTAAATGGATGGTAGAGGACAGGAAGGCCTGGAGGAACGTTGTCTACGGGGTCGCGATGGGTCGGACACGACTTTGCAACTAACAACAGAGCCTGGATAGCTCTGCAGACAGAAGCACTGTAATTTAACACCAGCTGTCTGCAATTAAAGTAAGTTCGAATCTCGCCAGGCTCAAGGTTGACTCAGCCTTCCATCCTTTCTAAGGTAGGTAAACTGAGGACCCAGTTTGTGGGGGCAATAAGCTGACTTTGTATAAAATATATACAAAAAGATGAAGGCTATTGCTTAACGCACTGTAAGCCGCCCTGAGTCTCCGGAGAAGGGTGGCATATAAATCAAAATAAAAAATAAATAAATAAATAAAAGGAAGAGAGGTTCTCCTGAAGTTCTGGAGATGGTTATCTTCAGAGAGAGGAACACCAGCGTCTGCCTCTTTCAGAATCCATAGGTCGAAATGCATCGATTGCTTGAGATCTCTGGTGAGCAAAGCCATACGATGTAGGGCAGTTGGCGCTGGCCGAAAGCAAAGCTGGAGAGGGGGGGGGGGAAGGCCGTATTTTGTTTAAAAACCACAATACTGAGATTTAACAGATTAACAGAGTTGGAAGGGGCCTTGTAGGGCATCTAGTACAGGGGTCTGCAACCTTAAACACTCAAAGAGCCATTTGGACCCGTTTCCCACAGAAAAGAAAACACCGGGAGCCACAAAACCCTTCCGGTGCCTGACTATTTCCACAAAACTAGCATATGTAGTTGAATTAAACGTTCCGTTTTCTTCTGAAACTTTTCTTTTCTTGGATTTATCCATGGTTGGCCTACCGGGGGTTGAAAAGCTCAATAAATTGCGTGCCGGCGGGTGTCGCACATTGGTGGTTGTGACGCATATTTTGAGTGACGGAGCCGCAGCAGAGGGGTGAAAGAGCCGCATGCGGCTCCAGAGCCGCAAGTTGTTGACCCCTGATCTAGTCCAACTCCCCACCCAAGCAGGAGACCCTACACCATTTCTGACAGAGGGCAGTCGAGTCTCTTCTTGAAAGCTTCCAGTGTTGAAGCTCCCACAACTTCCAAAGGCAACTTCTGTTCCATGGGTTGATTGTTCTCACTGTCAGGAAATTCCTCCTTATTTCCAAGTTAAATCTCTCCTTGTTCAGTTTCCATCCATTGTTCCTTGTCTGGCTTTCGGGTGCTTTGGAAAATAGCTTGACCCCCTCCTCTCTGTGGCAGCCCCTCAAATATTGGAAGACGGCTATCATGTCTTCCCTGGTCCTTCTCTTCACTAGACTAGCCATGCCCAGTTCCTGCCACCGTTCATCGTATGTTTTAGCCTCCAGTCCCCTAATCATCCTGGTTGCTCTTCTCTGCACTCTTTCTAGAGTCTCCACATCTTTTTTATAGTGAGAATAGAATAGAATAGAATAGAATAGAATAGAATAGAATAGAATAGATAGAATAGAATTCTTTATTGGCCAAGGGTGATTGGACACACAAGGAATTTGTCTCTGGGGCATACGCTCTCAGTGTACATAAAAGAAAAGATACGTTCGTCAAGAATCATAAGGTACAACACTTAATGATAGTCATAGGGTACAAATACGAATAGAATAGAATAGAATAGAATAGAATAGAATAGAATAGAATAGAAAATATGGAATGGAATGGAATGGAATGGAATGGAATGGAATGGAATGGAATAGAATAGAATAGAATAGAATAGAATAGAATAGAATAGAATAGAATAGAATAGAATAGAATAGAATAGAATAGAATAGAATAGAATAGAATAGAATTCTTTATTGGCCAAGGGTGATTGGACACACAAGGAATTTGTCTCTGGGGCATACGCTCTCAGTGTACATAAAAGAAAAGATACGTTCGTCAAGAATCATAAGGTACAACACTTAATGATAGTCATAAGGGTACAAATACGAATAGAATAGAATAGAATAGAATAGAATAGAATTGAATTGAATTGAATTGAATTGAATTGAATTGAATTGAATTCTTTATTGGCCAAGTGTGATTGGACACACAAGGAATTGGTCTTGGTGCATACGCTCTCGGAGTACATAAAATAAAAGATACGTTCATCAAGTTTGGTGGTGACCTAAACTGGATGCAGTACTCTAGGTGTGGTCTTACTAGAGCTTTGTAGAGTGGTATTAGTACCTTGTCCAGAGAGGAATGGATAAACTCTTAGAATTTTTTATGAAAGACACTCTTGAGATGTCGGAGAGAGGTTTGCCACGGAGAAGAACTTAAAACAGTCACTAAATGAATGGTCATATGTCGAGGACTGACCGTAACTCCAGAACTTTTGCTCGGTGCAGGATTCATTACAGCATCCCTGAGTGGTAACCTGGATTTTGGTGGGTCCCCCTTGCTTGTTTAACGTCCCTGCCTTCTTTTCCAGGAAACCTGCAGAAAATGCCAAGGCCTCTGGAAGGAACACATGAATCTCACTTGTGAACAGCTGGCTGAAAAGGACGACATTAAATACAGAACATCCATGTAAGTATCTTTAGTGTTGCAGTGGGGAGAAGAAAACAGAAGCCCCACTCCCACCCACCCACCCAGATTTCAACTAGGGCCAGTTCTGCAAAGGTTGCTCTTAAATTCTAATGTTTTGTTTGCTAACAATTACAAAATTAGAAATCTGGGACTGTAGCACCTTTTCTGGAACATGTTTTATGAAAAGGTACAAGCTTGTGTGGCTACCAGATTTTTCTTTCTTTTTTCTTTTTTTGGTCCCCCTGGACTGACTTGGCTCTAATCCTACCTTCTCCACAACCTGTTGAAATTTGAGTAAGGACTGGTGGGGTTTTTTTTTTCCCCCTCGGGTAAATTGCTTCTTTATTCAAAGTTGCTTGGAGGGAGAAAAGGGGAGAGGAGAGGAAATAGAAGGGAAAGGATAGAGAAGGGAGGAAGGGAAGGAAGGGAGGCCGAGATGGAGGGAAAGGAGAAGGAAGGAGGGAGGGAGGGAAGGAAGGAAGGAAGGAAGGAAGGAAGGAAGGGAAAAGCAGGGAAAGGAGAGAAAAGGAAGTAGCAGGGAAAGGATGGGAGGGAGGGAGAGATGGAGGGGAAGGAAGGAAGGAAAAATCAGGGAAAGGAGAGAAAAAGTAGGGAAAGGATGGGAGGGGGGAAAGGCAAGGAAAGGAGAGAAGGTAGTAGGGAAAGGAGAGAAGGTAGTAGGGAAAGGAGAGAAAAGGAGAGAAAAGGAAGTAGGGAAAGGATAGAAGGAAGGAAGGGAAAGGAGGGAAAGGAAGGAAAAGGAGAGAAAAGGAAGTAGGGAAAGGATAGAAGAAGCAGGAAGGGAAAGGAGGGAAAAGAGAGAAAAGGAAGTAGTAGGGAAAGGAGAGAAAAGGAAGGAAAAGGAGAGAAAAGGAAGAAGGGAAAGGATAGAAGGAAGGAAGGGAAAGGAGGGAAAGGAGAGAAAAGGAAGGAAAAGGAGAGAAAAGGAAGTAGGGAAAGGATAGAAGGAAGGAAGGGAAGGAAGAAAAAGGAGAGAAAAGGAAGTAGTAGGGAAAGGAGAGAAGGAAGGAAAAGGAGAGAAAAGGAAGTAGGGAAAGGATAGAAGGGAGGGAAGGAAGGAAGGAAGGAAAAAGAGGGAGGGCCTCGATGCTCCTGAGAGTATCAGAAGGAAGGAGGCTAAGAATTCTGCCTCTGTGTCTGATTGTTGTGGTCAGAAAGGACCCTAGCAAAGAGGAGGAAAAATGGTGTTTAATGAGATTCCTGTTGTTTTTATGCCCCTCCCGTCATTGTTTTGCCAAACAACTCTAGATTATTATAAAGATACTTTTTTTTTTTACAAAAAAACCTTTCATCGTGCTGCCATTCTTCCGCAGGATATATTTATCGAGGGGTGGGTTGGGGGGGAGAGATCTAATAATATACCAGGTTTTTAGCTTTATTTGTCTGAAGAAGAGGGGAAGGGGAAGAACTCGGCTGGGTATCCTTTTCCACCGCGGTGATGTCTTTTGGCGAACCGCTGGGCCCAGCTGAAACCCGGGACAATGAGACTTCCTGTTTGAGCCAAAGGAAGCGGAAGCCCAGCGGGATTTTCAGAGCCAGCTTCCTGTTCGGCTGCTGCTAAGGATTTCCTGTTGGGAAAGACGACGAGATGGGAAGAGAACGATGGGTTGGTTCCACGCGGAGTTATTCTTGCTTGCCCGAATTGCGAAGGCAGTGACCAAAAAAGGAATTCGAAACGAGGAGATTGTAGCACAAAGGGCCAACCTGCAGATTAATTTGCAAATCACAATGCCCCCAATCCCTAAAAACTGTTTGTAGGACAGTTTCCAGTTCAAAGCTGGAAGATACTGTGGTGTTGCTGTTAGTTGCAAAGTCGTGTCCCACCCATCGTGACCCCATGGACCATGTTCCTCCATGCCTTCCTGTCCTCTACCATCCTCTGGAGTCCATTTAAGCTCACGCCGACTGCTTCAGTGACTCCATCCAGCCATATCGTTCTCTGCCGTCCCCTTCTTCTTTTACCCTCCATCGTTCCCAGCATTAGGCTCTTCTCCAGGGAGTCCTTCCTTCTCCTTAGGTGGCCCAAGTATTTGAGTCTCCTCTTCAGGATCTGGCCTTCTAAGAAGCAGTCGGGGTTGATCTCCTCTAGGACTGACCGGTTGGATGGCCTTGCAGTCCAAGGGACTCGCAGGAGTCTTCTCCAGCACCAGAGTTCAAAGGCCTCAATTCTTTGGCGCTCAGCCTTCCTTATGGTCCAACTTTCACAGCCGTACATTGCAACTGGGAAGACCATAGCTTTGACTATACGCACTTTTGTTGGCAGAGTAATGTCTCTGCTTTTTTGTATGCTGTCTTAACTTCGCCATAGCTGCCATAGAAGATACTGTACAACATTGCTATTTTAGTCGGTGTCCGTAGACCAAGATTGAAACGTTTTGAATTACGTAGACCTCTTCATCGCAGAATGCTAACAAGATAAGTTAGTGAGGAAAAACCTTTCCTGTGCCATGACATAATAGTAGAATAACAGAGGTCTCAAGAAAGATCTAGGAGTTACCTGTATCTCAAACCAGGTATCTATAGTTAGTGAAGTCTAAAATAAATGTAGTAGTATATACTATGTACATAGTGCTACATTTACATAGTACATACTGCTACATATATAGAACATATTACTATGTACATGAAAAAGATGAGAAGGATAATAGCAGTGCAGCCTACTACATGGCTGTATTTACACGTAGCATGTACTACATATAAATAGTAGAATGTACTACATACCTAGTACATTCTACCACATATAAATACAGCCATAGTAGTACATAGTACATACTTCTGCATATAAATACAGCCACGTAGTAAGTTGTATTGCTATTATCCTCATATTTTCCTCTTCTCATCTTTCCTACTATCTTCTCCTATTGGTATCTTATGATTTATCGCTTGTTGTTTGTATCTTATGGTTTATGATCTATGACTTACCACTTTGCTGTTTGCATGCGCAGCGAGAGCTTATGCATCCGGAAACAAATTGTGTATCAATCATGCATGGCCAATAAAGAATTCTATTCTAAGGGATGTGGTGGCTCAGTGGCTAAGATGCTGAGCTTGTCGATCGAAAGGTCGGCAGTTCAGCGGTTCGAATCCCTAGCGCCGCGTAACCGGGTGAACTCCTGTGACTTGTCCCAGCTTCTGCCAACCTAGCAGTTCAAAAGCAGGTAAAAAATGCAAGGAGAAAAATAGGGACCACCTTTGGTGGGAAGGGAACAGCGTCCCGTGCGCCTTTGGCATTGAGTCATGCCGGCCACATGACCACGGAGACGTCTTCGGACAGCGCTGGCTCTTCGGCTTTGAAACGGAGATAAGCAGCGCCCCCTAGAGTCGGGAACGACTAGCACATATGTACGAGGGGAATCTTTACCTTTATTCTATTCTAAATGGGATCTGGTGAAGGGCAATTGGGCTACTGCAGAGAAGAACTGGAAGTTTTGCTAGAGTTGAGCTTGGAGACCTCAAAGTTACTCTAGGATTGTGGTTCTGAGTGCATTGTGGGTAAACTCCATTTTCTTCCTATTTCGCAGAGGCCCTGCAGTCTCTGTAGAGCCGTATGCAAACCTTTCATTTGTTTTTCCATTCCGTTAAATATCATGACACTATTTTTCCTTCTTTCTGCACTCTACAAGGTTAGGGACACATCTGCGTTGATTACCGATGGAAGCAAGAGTTTGCATCTGAGGCTAGAAATTTGCACGTTATCTTGTTAAAGATCATTTCCTGATGATATTTCCTGATCATTGAGAAGAGCCCCTGCTTGTGTGTTTCCTAAGTTGGGTGGGGGCAGGGGCTAGCTTTGTTCTCTTTTTCCCTTTTTGCTCCGCAAGCCAGGACTGCTAACCATTGCTTTGCAAAGAGAGGATTGCACCTCTGGAGCATGTACAGTAGTGGCCAAAATTGTGGAAACCTTTTGGGAAAAAGTGTATTTTCTAAAACTAGCTAATAACACTACCTTGTTTGTGGGGAGTAGTACCATAAAATCATATATCGACGGAAAGATAATTTAATCAAGAATGTCATGCAATAACTTTCACGAAGGATTTGCTATTAGAATAGCAGTGACAGTATAAAGAAGAAAAGCGAAACACGTAGAAAAAACGAGATATGCAAAAATTATCACCACGTCAGTTAATACTTCGTTGGGTAACCTTTAGCATGAATGACGGCCTTACAACGTCTTCCCATGGAGTGAACCAAGTCTTTGAGTTCTGCAGCTGTTCTAATGTGAAACCAAGATTGAATGATGGCTTCTATTAACTGGGTTTTATTGCTGGGTTGCTTCTGACTAACAAGTTTCTTTAGTCAGCTCCATAGATTTTCCATTGGGTGAAGGTCTGGGCTATTCCCAGGCCATTCCAGCAGTGGAATAGGATTATCTTGAAACTCCCCCCCAAAAAAGAAAAAAAAGTGGTGTTATTAGCCATCAAACCTCAAAAATACACTTTTCCCCAAAAGGTTTCCACAATTTTGGCCACTACTGTAATGAGAGTATAACCCAACCAAGGTGGCTGTTTTCATAAACTGTGATCGGAAACAAACTGGTTTAGTGCAGGGATGAGCAATTCGATAGCTGTAGAGAAAGAGGACTGAAGTTCTCGTACAAAGGGACTTGGGGCCATTTCTTGCACCTGAACGGAGACAGGATGTTTCACCGTTTCCTGATTTTTAGTGGGTGGGGAGTTTTTTGTTTCTTTTAAATCTATTTTAAGGCTTAGATGCTAGCTTTTGTCTTGTCTGCCGCCTCCAACTATGGGAAATTGTGTTGACACCTTTGAACAGCTGTAGTGTAGAGGAGGGGGAAGGTGGGCTTAGGGACAGCGCAGAGGTTGTTGTTGCAAAAACATCAGCTTCGCTGGGGAAAACAGGAAAGGGTGAGAAAGAAACTCAAGGTTGTACCCGCCTTGTGTCTCTTCGGCATAAGCGGGAGGGAAGGAGAAGCTTTCGAGAGGGTGTTATTTTGCCACATTAACAATAAAGTTAAACCTCAGTTCTTCTTATGGGGGGAGGGGGTCTGTTTCCTGATCTAGTCTTATCTCAAAAGTGGGAGATGCAAAAGGATTTAGGGACAGATACAATCCTGGAACATCCGTTGCACAAGCATGGATGAGCGTGATGTGAGACCTCACCTGTCCTGTATCAAAAGGCTACCAATGCTGGAAATGGACCAGAAGCTCACCACAGAGGTGCTAGCATCTGATGGGTTTTTCTTCTGTGGCTTCAAGATGTGGTACCAACAGTCGCGAGTCCAAAGGTGGGGTTCAACCGGTTCGGACAAAGCGGTAGCTCCGACGATCAAATCAGAGCGCACGATCACCGAACTGGTTGTTAAACCTGCAGGATCCCACCACTGGTTGCGACCCAACCATCCTATTGAAGCTAAGCAGACCCAGAGCCACTTTATGGGAGGCCGACAAGGACCCCAATAGAGTGATGGAATTAATGGAAGAAAATATTTGTAGCCCGGAGTTGAACTCTGGGGTCTTTGGTGCTCTCTGAGCTTGGTCGTTTCCTTGCAGACGTTTCGTGACCCAACTAGGTAACATCAGTATTAGTAGAGGGTGGACTTCATGGGGAAGAGGAGGAAGAAGAAGATCCTGACCAGCTCAGGGAAGAGAGGGAGGGAGGGAGGGAGGGAGGGAGGGAGGAAGCCATAGTGGTATGGTTGTTACAATGCAGTATTGCAGGCTAACTCTGCCCACTGCCAGGAGTTCGAGCCTCACCAGTTCAGAGAAAGAAGGAAGGAAGGAAGAAGAGAAAGGAAGGAAGGAAGCCATAGTGGTATGACTGTTACAATGCAGTATTACAGGCTAACTCTGCCCACTGTCAGGAGTTCGATCCTCACCAGCTTTTTTTTTTTTTTAATTTTGATTTATATGCCGCCCTTCTCCGGAGACTCAGGGCGGCTTACAATGCGTTAAGCAATAGCCTTCATCCTTTTGTATATTTATACAAAGTCAGTTTATTGCCCCCACAATCTGGGTCCTCAATTTACCCACCTTAGAAAGGATGGAAGGCTGAGTCAACCTTGAACCTGGTGAGATTCGAACTTACAGTAATTGCAGACAGCTGGTGTTAATACAGTGCTATCAGTCTGCTGAGCCACCAGGCCACCAGCTCAGGGACGGAAGGAAGGAAGGAAGGAAGGAAGGAAGGAAGGAAGGAAGGAAGGAAGAAAGAGAAAGAAGGAAGGAAGGAAGGAAGGAAGGAAGGAAGGAAAGAAAGAAAGAAAGAAAGAAAGAAAGAAAGAAAGAAAGAAAGAAAGAAAGAAAGAAAGAAAGAAAGAAAGAAAGAAAGAAAGAAAGAAAGAAAGAAAGAAAGCAAGCAAGCCATAGTGGTATGGCTGTTATAATGCAGTATTGCAGGCTGACTCCGCCCACTGCCAGGAGTTCGATCCTGACCAGCTCAAGCTTGACTCAGTCTTCCATCCTTCCGAGGTGGGTAAAATGGGGAGCCAGGTTGTTGGGGGCCAGATGCTGACTCTGTCAACCGCTTAGAGAGGGTTGTAAGTCTTAAGTGCTACTGCTATTCTAAACACGGTCCAGTGTTTGCAGACCATAGTAGCTCCATCTTCTTTGGCAACATCTCGGTAACTAAGCAACAAGCAACCCCACTCGGTTGGAAACGGTTGGGGTGAGGTCGGTTTCCCCGGCCCCCCTTTTTCGCCCCCGCAGCTCTGCATTATCTCTCTGCCAGAAGTCACCATCCTTCTACGGCTGCTTTCTCAGACTTTTCCATTGTTTCTAGTCGAAGGTTTTGCTGTCTGGCCGGTTCTCCGGGAGACCGCCTTTAAACCTGCAGAATGTGGATTCGGCGATGAATGTTTAGACTTCATTGGTTTTTCCGTCTCCTTCGCTTCTTTATTTGGCTATTTATTTAAAGAAACAATATGGCCACTCACCTCAAACAGCAGGCATTACATAAGTAAGTGTAGATAAAAGACCCCCGCCCTCATTAAAAAAAAAAAACAGCGTAGAACAAAGCAAAAGGCAATGAAAATAATCTTTAATGCAATCGTCAAGGCACTGCGGTCATCCAGTCGCAACCCCAAAGCACCCATCCTGGGTCCCACTAAGACCTCTTGAAATGAGGGTCTTTCCAGGAGAGGGTGAGGGTCCAAATGACTCTTTGAGTGTTTAAGGTTGCAGACCCTTGCTCTATGAACCAATGCAGTTTCTGGCAGCCTTTTCAAACTGCACATGAGCCTTTGCCCACCTGTAGTCAAACCAGGGGTGAAATGCTTCCGGTTCAGACCAGATCGCCTGATCCGGTAGCGATGGAGGCGGGTGGTTCGGAGAACCGGTAGCAAAAATCCCTGTCCCCCCCCCCCATTGCCCAGCTGAGACGCACAATCAATAGAGGCTTTCTTTCTTTTAAAGGCTTCTGACGATCCAAGCTGAGATGCCTGATCGGCAGAGGCTTTTTAAAAAAGCCTCTGCCGATCAGGCAACTCAGCTTGGATCGTCAGAGGCATTTAAAAGAAAAAAAGCCTCTGATGATCAGGCAACTCAGCTGGGATCATCAGAGCCTTTTGAAAGCATTTCACCGAAGAGGTTGTAAAAAAATGGTTTTAAAAGTTTTTTTAAAATTGGCCACGCCCACCCAGTCACATTACTCCCCCCCCACTAAGCCACGCCCACAGAACCGGAAGAAACAAAATTGACACTTTCACCGCTGAGTCAAACCGTCTCCTCCCCCCCCCCCCCCCCCGCCTGACTCTTGCCTCCTTGCCTTCCAGAGAAGAGAAGATGACGGCGGCCCGCATCAGGAAGTGCCACAAATGCGCCACCGGCTTGATCAAATCGGAAGGCTGCAACCGCATGTCGTGTCGTTGCGGGGCTCAGATGTGCTACCTCTGCCGAGCTGCCATTAACGGGTACGACCACTTCTGCCAGCACCCTCGTTCCCCGGGAGCCCCGTGTCAAGACTGTGCGAGGTGTTCCCTTTGGACGGACCCCACGGTAAGTGTCTGGGACGCCCCTGAATGCCTTCCCAAGGTCCTCTGCGCCATCCTAAGGGGGATTGGCCCCACAACTGTCTAGCTGCGGTTAAAAATGCCATTCCTTAGTGCCCTTCACGAGTGGGAGTAGGGGTGTCATCCTCTATCTTGGGAAAACCAGGAAGACCTCCCCCCCCCAGGAAGACTCCCGAGAAGTCCAGGGATGCCAAGAGCCGTGGTGGCCCAGTGGTCAGACTGCCGGCTGCCTGCAATTTGGCAGTTCGAATCTCACCAGGCTCAAGGTTGACTCAGCCTTCCATCCTTCCGAGGTAGGTAAAATGAGGACCGAGATTGTTGGGGGCAATATGTTGACTCTGTAAACAGCTTAGAGAGGGCTGTAAAAGCACTATGAAGTGGTATATAAGTCTAAGTGCTATTGCCTTTCCTTCCTTCCTTCCTTCCTTCCTTCCTTCCTTCCTTCCTTCCTTCCTTCCTCCCTCCCTCCCTCCCTCCCTCCCTCCTTCCTTCCTTCCTTCCTTCCTTCCTCCCTCCCTTCCTTCCTTCCTTCCTTCCTTCATGGTTAGAATACAGTATTTCAGGCTAACTCTGCCCATTGCCTGGAGTTCAATCCTGACTGGCTCAAGGCTGACTCAGCCTTCCATCCTTCCAAGGTGGGTAAAATGAAGACCCAGATTGTTGGGGGCCATAGGCTGACTCTGTAAACTGCTTAGACAGGGCTCTAAAGCACTGTGAAGTGGTATATAAGTCTAAGTACTAAGTGCAAGTGCTCTCTTAGGACCTCTCTGTAGGTCTTTGGTTATTCGGGTTTTCTCCCGCGTAAAATTGGAGGTTTCTTGGCAACGTTTCGATGAAGTCTCATTCGTCATCTTCAGGCTGATGTCTTTGGCTTCGTGCTTCTAGGAGCAATGCTCCTAGAAGATGACGAATGAGACTTCGTCGAAACGTTGCCAAGAAACCTCCAATTTTATGCGGGAGAAAACCCAAATAACCAAAGACCTATATACAAACACCCGCGAAAACCTCAGAAAACACATAGATAGATAGATAGATAGATAGATAGATAGATAGATAGATAGATGATAGATAGATAGATAGATAGATAGATAGATAGATAGATAGATAGATAGATATGACTAAATATTCCCAGTTTCCTCAATTGTTCATCCCAATGATTTAGCCTCCAGACGAAGATTAAAATCTTCGTTGCTCTTTTCTGCACTCTGTCTAAGGTCTCTCTATATATAAGGGAATGTTTAGTCTTGACAAAGAGAAGGACTAGGGATGACATAGCAGTGTTCCGATATCTCAGGGGCTGCCCCAAAGAAGAGGGAGTCAAGCTATTCTCCAAAGCACCCGAAGGCAAGACAAGAAGCAATGGGTGGAAACTCATCAAGGAGAGAAGCAAACTAGAACTCAGGAGAAATTTCCTGACAGTTAGAACAATTAATCAGTGGAACAACTTGCCACCAGAAGTTGAGAATGCTCCAACACTGGAAGTTTTTAAGATGATGTTGGATAACCATTTGTCTGAAGTGATGCAGGGTTTCCTGCCTAAGCAGGGGGTTGGACTAGAAGACCTCCAAGCTCCCTTCCAACTCTGTTATTCTATGTTCTATGTGCTCTCTGTCCTGCTGGTGTCCTTTCACCGTTTCAACCCTGTCTCTCTCTGCCTTCGCTTTTCCCACTTTCTTGGAGAAAGTTGCCTTGGCTCCGTCACCATTTCCCCGTTGCTCTTGAGACGTTCCCTGGTTTAATATGGGACTGATCTTTTTTTTTTATTTTTTAAAGTCCTTGTTCTCCTCCTCCCTCTGAACATCCATACATCATGAAAGCATTTTGAGCTTATTGGGAACAGCTGTGCCCACACATGGAGAGAGAGAGAGAGAGAGAGGAAAAAAAATGTGGGGTGTGGGGTGGGAGAGATCTATATATGCCTGCATATCAAATTACAGATGGGGGAACGGAGTTCCTATTGACTCATTTGAAACGCCGCTTTTAAATATAAATCCCTCCATCCTGAAATAATTAGCCGGCTACTCTGGCTTGATACAAAAGACTGTAAATATATCTTGCAAGTGAATTTTTTTTTATTTTTTTTGACTTGGAAAGGAATACGTCTGTTGGGGAAGCTTTGGCCATCAAGATTGTTTTGCAGTTTGATTGGGGACTTTACTTTTTACTCTCTATCTGGTCTTCGCAGGATTTTTTTTCCCCCTTTAGTTTTCTGCACCCGGAGATTTTACAGTCCTGAGCAAAAGTTAGCAACCTGAAGCCTCAGGGGCCGTGAGCAGGCCTTAGATCAGGGGTGTCAAACTGGATTTCTTTGAGGGCTAGGTCAGCACTGTAGTTCTCCTCTGCAGGCCTGCTGGGGTGAGGGGAAAGAGACGGGACAGACACCTCCTGCACCACCCTGCTGGCCAAAATGGGACGTGGGAGGGCCACACGCACACACCCCCCCCCGTGTGCCTTAAATTTGACACCGCTACCTTAGATTCTTCTGGAACTTCTCTTCACGCGTCTTGTTTTTACAAATCGGCAGTACGGAAGGAAGGAAGGAAGGAAGGAAAGAAAGAAAGAGAAAGAAAGAAAGAAAGAAAGAAAGAAAGAAAGAAAGAAAGAAAGAAAGAAAGAAAGAAAAATTTTTATTTTAGCAGCCTGTTCTGGAGAGAGGAATTTTGGAAGGGGGAAGGGAGGGAGAGGAGAAAGGAAGGAAGGAAGAAAAAACTTTTTATCTTAGCAGCCTGTTCTGGAGAGGGGAATTTTGGAAGGGGGGAGGGAGGAAGGAAGGAAGGAAGGAAGGAAGGAAGGAAGGAAGGAAGGAAGAAAGAAAGAAAGAAAGAAAGAAAGAAAGAAAGAAAGAAAGAAAGAAAGAAAGAAAGAAAGAAAGAAAGAAAGAACTTTTTATCTTTGCAGCCCGTTCTGGAGAGAGGAATTTTGGAAAGGGGAGAGGGAGGGAGAGAAGGAAGGAAGGAAGGAGGGAAGGAAGAAGAAAAGAAAGAAGAAAGAAAGAAAGAAAGAAAGAAAGAAAGAAAGAAAGAAAGAAAGAACTTTTTATCTTTGCAGCCCATTCTGGAGAGAGGAATTTTGGAAAGGGAGAGAGAGAGAGGGAGAGAGGAAGGAAGAAAAGAAAGAAAGAAAGAAGGAAGGAAGGAAAGGAAGGAAGGAAGGAAAGAAGGAAGGAAAGAAAGAAAGAAAGAAAGAAAGAAAGAAAGAAAGAAAGAAAGAAAGAAAGAAAGAAAGAAAGAAAGAGAAAAAAAACTTTTTATCTCAGCAACCCGTCCTGGAGAGAGAGGAATTTTGGAAGGAGTTCCCTTGGCGTGGCTGGCTGTACAGCTGATAGCTACAAATCTTCCTTTTTAACATCGTTGCTTGTAACCGCCAGCCCATCGTTCAGCCCCTTTTGTGCCCATGTGCTGCGCATTCTCCTCTCCTCAAACATCCCAGAAGCCTTTCAAGTGCGACCTTGAAAGGAGTCGCATCATTGCTGTCGCACGCCAAGAAAGTAACCGCCAGCCATTGCAGCAGACGGGAATAAAAGATGGCGGCCATTCCCTTAACTCCTATGGCAGGAGAGAAAGGTCGTAAAACGGCGCAAAACTCACTTAACAGCCGTCTCGCTCAGCTGCGGAAAATTTTGGCCTCGGTTGTGGTCATAAATGTAGGATTACCCATATTAGGACCGAATTCTGACAGGCGTCAGTATGTCTCGGTGAGCAGAGAAAGGTACTTATGCCACCCCGATAGCACCCATACAGATAGTCCTCGGCTCAACGACTGCAATTTTGAGCCCAAACATTTCCGCTGCTAAGTGAGACGGCTGCTAAATGAGTTTTGCCCCCATTTTACGACCTTTCTTGCCATCGTCGCCAAGCGAATCACAACAGATATTACATGGCTGTTAAATCTGTCAAAAAGTCGCCAAAGGGGATCCGGTGACCCTGGGAACACTGCAACCGTCATAAGTACATGCCAGTTGCCAAGCCTCTGAATTTTGATCACGTGAGTGTGGGGAGGCTGCGACGGCCGTTAAGTGTGAAAAATGGTCATAAGTCACTTTTTCCCCCGGTGCCGTTGCAACTTCGAACGGTCACTAAACGGACTGCTGTAAGTTGAAGACCACTTGCATGTATTTTCTGTGTGTGGATACCTACACAAGTGTGTGTTTAGAGATACGTTTCAATAGGACGAACTTTTACCACTCTACACAGTTCCCCCCATTTTCCATGTGGGGAACTCTGGAGACAACATGATCCTCAGTTGATGGCTGCAAATTGATTCCCAGGCCTGGATTGTGCGAGTTGCGGACTCCTTACGTTGTGATCGAAACGTAAAACGAAAAGCGGTGCTTTTCAAAGACCCACAAAAGTTCCTTATGGTCTAGTGACAAGCTTGGAAGATCCTTGAGAAATAACATTAGTGACTTAGTGAATCCAGGAACAAGCTTCGGTTGGGCTGAATCACACACACACACACACACCATCCTCCTGCCAAAATGCTATTTGGTTCCCATCAGACATTAAAAGGGGGAGAGAAAGGGCTTCGAGAACATTTCCAGACGTCTTTTTATGAAATCCAAATTGGGAAAACTGGCAAGTTTCTAATATCCGTGATGGCGAACCTATGGCACGCGTGCCACAGGTGGCACGCGTAGCCATATCAGTGGGCATGCCAGCTCAACTCTGGCGCGCATGTCCACCTGATTTTCAGGCCTTTTGGGCCCACCAGAAGTAGGGAAAACAGGCTGTTTTCTGCCTCCGGAGGGCCTGGGGGTAGGTGTGGGAAGGCTGTTTTCGCCCTCCCCAGATGCATAGAGAGGATCTGGAGCCAGGTGACAAAGAAAAACGGGCCAGGAGCAAGGAGGGAGGGGGGATTGGGCAAATCTTCCCTGCCCTCCCCTTCCTGGCACGCGATGGCAAAAAGGTTAGCCATCCCTGTCCTATATCATCTCTGCGCCTCTCTGTGTATATGTGTGCGTGCATATGCAAGCATGTTCAGCCGTGACCGCATGTTTCCTAGGGGTTCCTCCAAATCCAGAAGATTTTTCCACATTACAGGAAAGGGAAAATGCAGGAAGACATTAAAAAGAGAAGAAATGAAAACAAGATGTCCATGGGTTCATTTTTTAATTTTTTTTTAATGGGATGGCCGTTTGTTTCCAACTAGTTCTGCATCTTACATTAGTTTCTTCACCCTTAGCATTCTTCTTATTCTTGTAGCATTGATTCTACATTTAGAATACATATATCATCATCGTTATTTCGATTTATTGACTTTCGGGGGGGGGATAATGGCAAAAGAGAGGATTGATGTGGAATTGATGGCTGGCAAAAAAGAGAGCCAGGATGTTGATCTTTCCATTCCTCTCTGGACAAGGTACTAATTTTGGTTGGGTGGACAAGCCGAGAATTACTCTATAAAGCCTTAGTAAGACCACACCTAGAATCCTGCATCCAGTTTTGGTCACCACACTATAAAAAAGATGTTGAGACTTTACAAAGAGTGCAGAGAAGAGCAACCAAGATGATTAGGGGACAGGAGGCTAAAACATACGATGAACGGTTGCAGGAACTGGGCCTGGCTAGTCTAATGAAGAGAAGGGGAGACATGATAGCTGTCTTCCAATATTTGAGGGGCTGCCACAGAGAGGAAGGGGTCAAGCTATTTTCCAAAACACCCGAAGGCCAGACGAGGAGCAATGGATGGAAACTGATCAAGGAGAGATTCAGCCTGGAAATAAGGAGAAATTTTCCAACAGTGAGAACCATCAACCCATGGAACAGAAGTTGCCTTCAGAAGTTGTAGGAGCTTCATCATTGGAAGCTTTCAAGAAGAGACTGGACTGCCATTTGTCAGAGATGCATGTAGGGTCTCCTGCTTGGACGGGGGGTTGGACTAGATGACCTACAAGGTCCCTTCTTCCAACTCTGTTAATCTATTAAATCTGACAAGAATGGAGATTGCTCACAAAAGTGCTCCGGGCAGTTGCTCCTCGGGAGAAGACCTCGAGGCATGTTTTGTGGCAAGTGTTGTGGATGAAATTTCAGAAATTGCAAGGGGTAGCGGTGAAATATTTGCAGCCCTGGAGTCGGGTTGATCCGCTGTGAACAAATAGCAGCAGATTCGAGTCAAGGTCTCAAAACACATGCGTGCAAAATAAATTAGATTTTTTTCCCCCTTGCAGAAGCTGGAGGGCACCTTCGTTCAGCCTCGCGGATTTTCCTTTTTATATACACGTATAAATTGTAAGCGTATCGACCTATAGCTCTGGTGACAGTTCTGGGTCTCCCTGTCCCTTACAGGAGGACGACGAGAAGATAATCCACGAAATTCAGAAGGAAGCGGAAGAAGAACAAAAGAGGAAGAGCGGAGGTTGGTTGAAACTTGGCGTTGAATGGATAGAAGCAGGGAAGCTGCATGAGGTGGGAATATTTGTCTTTTACCAATAAAGGAGAATATTTGTAGCTCAGGCTTGAAACGAGGGCTCCTTGGCGCTCTCTGAGTTTGATGGCTTTCTTGCAGACATTTCATGACCCCACTAGGTAACCTCATCAGTGCTAGAAGGGAGTATGGTTAGCAGAGTGGAGGGAGGAGGAGGAGGAGTGGTCCTTGGTGCTCTCTGAGCTTGGTGTTTTCTTGCAGATGCTTCATTGCCAAACTAGGTAACATCATCAGTGCAAGAAGGGAGGAGGGTTTGTGGGAAGGAGGAGGAAGAGAAGGAGGAGTGAGAAAGAGAAGGAAGAAGGGAAGAAGTAGAAAGGAGGGGAAGGAGGAAGAGAAGACAGGAGGAGAGAGAAGAGGACTGTAGAGTCTTTATTGATTCCTGAGCTTGGTAGTTTTTTTGCAGATGCTTCATTGCCAAATTAGGTAACATCATCAGTGCAAGAAGGGAGTGGGGTTTGTGGAGAGGAGGAGGAAGAGAAGGAGGAGTGAGAAAGATAAGGAAGAAGGGAAGAAGGAGAAAGGAGGAGAAGGAGGAAGAGAAGACAGGAGGAGGAGGACTGTAGGGTCTTTATTGATTCCTGAGCTTGGTGGTTTTCTTGGAGACGTTTCATGACCCAACTAGATAACTTCATCAGTGCTAGAAGGGAGTATGGTTAGCAGAGGGGAGGGAGGAGGAGGAGGAGGAGGAGGACTGGCGGGGGGGTGGTCCTTGGTGCTCTCTGAGCTTGGTTGTATTCCTGCAGACGTTTCATGACCCAGCTAGGGAACATCATCAGTGCTAGTCCATATTTGTCCTTAAAAGACAAACACAGACGTGGCACGCAGGTCGGTCCAAATGAGCTGGATTTACTTCATCCTAATACTAGGAAACCCATTCAAACAGGGCGCCCAGAATTCTTTGTAAAATTGTCACCTTCTTGCCTACCTTCTCTCTCTCTCTCTCTCTCTCTCTATATATATATATATATATACATATATGTTTGTTTGTTTTCTTTTGCAGAAAACAGTTTTAAGCGGATCGGGCCTCCGGCAGAAAAACCCGCAGAGAAGATCCCACGGATCGAAGCCATCCCCAGGCCTGTTCCCCAGAACTTCCACCACCACCACCACCACCATCAAATCCGCCCCTACCCTTTCGGCCACCCGCCTTTCCCTCTCCCTCCGGTGCACCCGCTCTACAACAACCTCGGCCCCATCAACCTGGGCCCCATCCCGGCCCCTTACGTGCCCCCGCTCCCCAACATGAGAGTCAACTACGACTTCCCCCAAATGAACCTTCAGCTGGAGCACAATCTCCCTATGCACTTCGGGCCTCAGCCTCGGCATCGGTTCTGATCCGCTTTTTCGGGAAGGCGCCGTTCCTTTCCGGAACTTGCTGCAGGGAAAGTCCACACACACTGGTTTGTCGATGCTCGCTCTCCTTCCCTCCCTCCCTCCTTCCCCACGAAAGCTACCATCTCCGCCTTGGCTCCTGTTCCTTCCGCCTCCCTGGTTGTCTCCCAGTTCAGAGATCCGTTTCCCCCGCCCTCCGCTAGGCGCAGGGGAGCCCTAGTTTGCAATAAGGGGTTTAATCCCAGCACTGTTTAATTTTTCTCCAGGTGCTCTCAGTGTTTGAGAAGAGGGCTTCCGCAGGAGTCGGGAGGAGGAGGGGACGACAGCATCGCCAAAATGTCTCCTTCCATAGCTGTAGGACCTCGCAACACCTCAACCCAAGAAGAGGTTGAAGGTGGCAGAGGAAGAGGAAGAGTTTGGAATATTTGAAACGCTCAGGTGGCAGTTCCCTTCATTCCCAGAACGCCAGGCGTGGCGGGAGGAGGGTCTTCTTAGCTTCCCTCTTCTGCTAGGAAAAGCATGGGACAGATGCCTTTCTTAAGGGGGTCGGGGTCTCCTAAAGCGAGCTGGGGGAGACCCTCGGGGATTTGACAAGCAGCTCAGCGGAACCTTGATTTGGCTACTAACCCTGGAGCCCGTGGAGGTTTTTCTCTATTATGCGTGGAAATGAGAGCCCCAGCTGGAGGAAGGGATGACAAACTGACGGAGAGGTCAGAAGTATTGGGGTTCCGTGGAAAGACAGGTGTGCAATTGGGTTTCCGCTTTTTTTCTCTGGCGTCAGGTTGCTCCCCCGGCTGGGAGAACTTCCCCTATGCGCCTTGGACCTTCTCCCTTACCTGTGGGAGCACATGGCTCTAAGCTCCCATATGCGTCCTCCAGCTCTTTAAAGCCCAGGTTTGAAGCTAGATGTGTGCTCTCAACATTTCGGTCTTGGGTTCTTCAGCAGAACCGTTTTAAGGGATGGCTTTAGATCAGTGCTCCTCAACCTTTAAGAGGAGGGGACTTCCAACTCCCAGCTGTGGGAATTGGAAGTCCACCCATCTTAAAAGCCCAGAATTCCCAGCCAGCTACGGGAACTTGGAAGTCCATCCATCCATCCATCCATCCAACTGATCTACTAAACTAGGGGTCTCCAACCTTGGCAACTTTTAAGGCTTGTGGACTCCAACTCCTAGAGTTCCTCAGCCAGATGGGAGTTGAAGTCCACAAGCCTTAAAGTTGCCAAGGTTGGAGACCCCTAGTTTAGTAGATCAGTTGGATGGATGGATGGATGGATGGATAGAACCTGTTCTCCAAATATTCCTGCTTCCCCCAGATATCCCCTCCCACCTTCAGTACACCTGTACCCCCTTGGGTCCTCCGTGGCTTCCATACCCTCACTGGGAAGAGGTGTGACCTCAAAAACATGCCAGAAAGTTCCTGCGTGATCAGCCAGAGCTTGGAGGACAAGGAAGTGAGCCCCACAGCTGGTTCTCGTGATGATTTCAGGAAGGAAAAACGTCCTTGTCTTCAGAAACAGCTTCCCTTCCCAAACCAGCAGCCACCCACATCAGGTTGATGACCTTTCTTCCGAAGAAGTTTGGCCAGCGAAAGGTCTCTCTGGGCCAGAAGCCTGGAAGCTGAAGAGCCTCTTGCATCTTTGGTGGACGCCAGGTTTGGGGAGGGAGAGGGAAATGTTGCAGAAAATGGCTTTCTCCTCTTCTCCTAAAATCTAAATCCAACGGAGGGAATCTTCCCCACGGTTTCCCTTGGGGGCCTTGGGTCAGGTCAAGCAATAGAATACAAGGGGTGGTTTTTGAACCAGGACTAACTCGGTTTGTCGCCCAGATTGCTCCCCTCCCTCCTTACATTTTTTTTTTAATTTACTCCATGAAAAAACTTATATTCCTTGGATGACAGGCATAGCAAAGAGGCCCGTAAATATTGTCATTTCTTCACCCTCCATTAAGTGTGGAAAAGAATCGGGGAACTGCCAGGAAAATGAAGCCGACAGCCGTTTTTCAAGAGTTTCCTCCCTGATTCTAGCTACCTGTTTCCTTTTAAACAATATTATCAAACCGGCTTTTTATGTTTGTTTGTTTTTCCTCCTGGATATCCAAACAGTTGACCTTCTTCTCCCCTTTCCTTCTGGACGTGATCATGCAACTCCCGATTCTTTCCCGGTAGACTTTTCTTTCAAATTATTCTGCAATAAAACCGGGGGATGCTTTGAACAGCTGCTCGCTTCCAAGGTAGAGCGCTCGCCACCCAGTGTGCGTGGCCCACCTAATCCCCGATCAATAAGGATCGATCAAACTGATCGATAGATCAGAACGTTCCCCGTGGCAAATTTTGGACCCTTTCCCTTGGTTGAGAAAGTGCGATGGACTCCACGGCGAAAGTGTTGGGAGCAGCTGGGGATTTAATCTGATAGGAGCCATATTTTCCTGAAGTTCTTCCATCCCAAAGTTTTCTGTTGTCTTCCATTCCATGTGTCCATTGGCATTCTGGCCCCCATCTTAGCCACGTAGATTCAAAATCGTGTTTTTTTCCTTTGCTTTGTTACCGTTTGGCCACGAAAACCAAGCCCACGAAAAAAACATTTAAGTCCAAGCTGATCCGATACTGTTCTTATATGGATCTTATTCAGGTTTTAACATTGGCACCTTAAACTGTTGGCTTCTTTGAGGTAGCAATTGTTGACTTGTCAGTACATCTCTAAAAATATGTGTAAAATAATTTTGCTACCACTTAAAACCCAAAAGGGACCCATTCTCATAGAAGTACTTGAATTTAGAAAGAATCCTCATCCCTAGGAAATTGAGTTCTTTTGCATCTTAAAGCTGCTTTTTTTAAAAAAAAAAAAAACATATTCTGGATAGGTTTTGGCTATTTGGGCTAGATTTAAAGTGAGAGTTTGCATCCTTCATTCTTCTCCTACGTCATTGAACTACTGATGCAACAATCCCCTTCTTCCTGTGCTTGTGAGTTCCAGAATATTAGCTCAGCTTTTTCTGTTGGGTAAAGGCTGAATTTATTTACTCCTGGTTGTAGAAAACCCAACCCTGCCTCTTAGGTTTCATTTCTGTAAAAACAAGGAGTTTGGAATAAGGTTGCCCATAACAGGTGAGGGGAGAATTCTTTTTATTATTTCACTCAAGAGGTGTCCAGCCTTGCCTACGTTAAAACCTGTAGTCTTCTCCCAGAATTCCCCAGCCAGCCAAGATCCTTACGGAAATGAAATTCTGCGAATGGGGAAGACCACAGGTCTTAAAAGTTGCCCACGTTGGAGAGCCCCTGATTTAACTAGTAATTTCTATTTCCATTTTCTCTACTTGTGGGATAGAAGAAAAGCCCAGATTGTCTCATGCTCACCTTATCTTTCAGCATCTTCTGGAGAACTTCAGCTGGCCCACTCACGGTTTAGAAAAGACAAGTCTGTTTCTTGGACTTTAGAGGGTCGTGTGGCCTTGGGGACTAAGTCTCCCAATTCATTTGAGGAAGAAACTATGGGTTTCTTCCTCAAATGACCCCCCAAAGACCTCCGATTCCCATCGGCTCTTTGCTTTTCTTTCAAAATTACCAACAAGCTTCTCAGAAGAAGAACGAGAGAGACGGCCCAAAACATGCATCTCAAGGACGACTTCCAGTTTTGTCAATTCCCATTGAGACGATTATTTGGTCTGATCTGTAGCAGGTAATGTCATACCAAACCCACCTTTTTTTAAAAATAATAATAATAAATAAATCCTTGACTCTTCAAAACTTGAAGATGGGAAGGTGTTTTTGCAAGCATGCCTGCAGAGGTGGTGCAAATAAAACGGGAGTCCAGCTGCAGTCTTAAAAGCCAACTCTGGGTCCTCGGCTGTCCCTTATGAAGACCAGATCCTAACCAAGGGTGTGGCAAAAGAGATTACAAACCAAACCAGCTGCCTTCAGATCTTTTATTTTTCCCTTTCTGGATCGCATACGATCGATCGATCAGTCTGCATGGATGCAGGAGTGACTTTTCCCCCGATTTCCTTTTTTTTTTCCTTTTTTTTTTTTTTTTTGAAAATATGTTTTTTTTTTTCTCTTAACCTCCTGGATGTTGTTGGGTTAGTCGTCTGCTTGTCTTTCCCCCCCCCCCTCTCTTTTAATCCGAATCTTTCCTGAATCTTTTAAACCAGGGGTCTCCAAGCTTGGCAACTTTTAAGTCTTGTGGACTTCAACTCCCAGAATTCCTCAGCCAGCTTTGCTTTGCTGGCCGAGGACTTGTGGGAGTTGAAGTCCACAAGTCTTAAAAGTTGCCAAGATTGGAGACCCCTGGTTTAAACAGACATGCCTACGAGTAGAAAGTTACTTGGGTGGAGAATGGAAATTGTATGGAATTCCATTTTTGAGGGGTGTGGTTTTTTATTGGTAGCTTCTTTTTTTATGTATACATACATATATATATATATATATACAAATATATATACGGTATATAGTATCTATCTCTCCAAAAGCATCCATCTGTTTACGGGTAGACAAGGAGAAGTGTATGGATTTTCCCCTCTTCCCCCCCCTTTTGACATTTTAATAGGTACTTTCTATTATCAACTTTGCAGTGTTGAATTTAACTTGCCTTAAAAGGTGGAGAGAGAAACTTAGCATTTGCACTTAGCAAAAAAAGAGAGAGAGAGTGAGAGAAATTAATTTAAAGGAGCAAAGCCCTATCAACAGGAGAGCTGCATGTTCTACAACTTTGTATAACATAGCTGAAAACTTTAAAAAAAAAAAAAAAAAAGGAAGACCCAAAACCAGGAGAGGGAGAGAGAGAGGAAAAAAAAGAATATTTTTCTTTACCTTCTGGTAGGAAACCGTTCTAATCCGCGTGTAAAAAGTTTCTGTATTATATTGTAATTTCGATTTTTTTTGTAATTAAAAGAAAATTTGTGCTCCCTGTTTTTTACGTATCCTGGTTTCCTACGGGAGGATCCGTCATGCCAGATAAGCTCGGTTGCCATTACCTGCAAATCTTCAAATCTCTGCAGTTCGAAAGACGTCACTATCCCTGGGTGAAAATGGTGGAAATTTTATCACCAAAAAAAGGCGAAACTTTTTGTTTTAAGTGCCGTGGTGGCGCAGTGGTGAGAATGCAGTATTGCAGGCTAATTCTGCCGACTGCCAGGAGTTCGATCCTCACCTGCTCAAGGTTAACTCGGTCTTTCTCCTTCCGAGGTCGGTAAAATGAGGACCCAGATTGTCGGGGGCAACAGGCTGATTCTGTAAACCGCTTAGAGAGGGCTGTAAAAGCACTGTGAAGTGGTATATAAATAAGTGCTATTTCCTTCCTTCCTTCCTTCCTTCCTTCCTTCCTTCCATTAGAATGCAGTATTGCAGGCTGACTCTGCCCCACTGTCAGCAGTTCAATCCTGACCCGCTCAAGGTTGACTCAGCCTTCTGTCCTTCCGAGATGGGTAAAACGAGGCCCCAGATTGTTGGGGGCAAGAGGCTGACTCTGTAAACCGCTTAGAGGGCTGTAAAATACTGTGAAGCAGTATACAAGTCTAAGTGCTATTGCTTTTAAACGCTCACACAATGAACACAGGTAATCCTCACTTTATGACCACACTTGACACACACACGCCCAATTTTTGTTGCGAAGTGAGACATTCGTGAAGTGAATTCTGCCCCAGTCTACGACCTTTCTTGCCACGCTTGTTAAACGAATCACCGCAGTTGTATTGTTAAGTAACACTCATTTTTAAGTGATTCCGGCATCCCCATTTGACTTGGCTGGTCACAAGGTCGCAAAACGGGGAACGCATCACCTCGGGGACACAGCGACGGTCCTAAGGATGAACCGGTTGGCAAGCATCCGAATTTGGATCGCGTGACCGGGGTGGGTGGGGGGCTGCCGCGAAGGTCGTAGCGATGGAAAAAGGGGTCCCAAATCACATTCTTCAGTGCCGTCATAACTTCAAACGGTCGCTAAACGAAGTTGGGGGACTGCCTGTGGTGATCTTTAATCACTTCGCTGCAAGGATGAGGGAGAGGGGGGAGCCGGGCATGCTCGCCATTTCTGAGCTCCTAATCTGAGATAAAGAGGAAGGGGCATTTGGCGACGACGGGGGGAAATTCACCCCTTAAATGAACGGGCAGCTGCGGGTAGAAAAATGACAAGGATGTCGCAACAGATT